TACGTAGGTAGTTGAATGGTAGTGGTTGAGAGCAAATGCGGAGAGAAGTCAACGGTTCCTCAACCGGTAGCGGGCGATCGGCATGTGATGGCAAGAGCTACAAACAGAACGTGAAACTGGGAATAGTAAATCAGCACAAAAAAGACGGGAAATGGAGCAAGTTTAAGACGAGAAAGAGGAAGCCAATGGGGCCATTCAAATTAGATAAAAATAAGGCGATGAACTCTTTAATCGCCGAGGCCCGGGATAGTAACGAAAATCTAGGTTGGTCGCTATTGCCTGTGAAGAGCTGATCTAGACGGAAAAGAGAAGAAGTGATGCAACCTAAAAAGCTCTTTCCCCGGGCCCTTGATCAGAACTTTCAAAGATGGCGAGTACATGATCTGGGAGTTATAGCATGTATCTTTCCCACCAAACACCCCGCATCAGTACTTTACGCACCAGCCTAATCAGGTACCGCAAAAAATCTCGATTATGGGCATCGACACCAAATCTAGCAAATCCATCGCCGCTGGTTGCCCATTCCATCCACACCAAGAAAATATCACCACTTGCACGCTCGGCCTTGTCCGAAAGACCAGAACAGGTCGAACGACAGCTGCATACAGGCCTACAGTCTGCCCATTTTACACCACTGCAGTTACATCGACAGTTCCAGTGCTGTTGGTGAAGATCATCAGACAAGTAAAGCTTGGCCTCGGTGGTGAGGCGAGAAATAGTCAAGATGCGCAATCTTCGCAACATTCGATTTGGGCAATGCCAGCGCGAAAATGCCACAGCTGCGTGTTGGGATCCTGAGAAGGATCAGGTTCTTGTCGTAGCTCAACCATCAGAGTCCAGCTTTGAGATTGAGTTGCTGAGAATCTCTGGAGATCAAGACAGGTAAGTACACCATCTATAGAATAATGTACACATAATAGTCACTTACTCCATATAGCTCAGTCAGTACTGTAGCCAGTTGGGAGGCTCCTAGCCCAACACAAGATCTCCTTGTAGACAAGGTCATCAGTTTGCAGTATCTCAGTGGCTCAGCAACAACATGTCTCGTCTTCGAAGGTGGTGACATCGTCACAGTCCGAGAAGACGATTTCTCAGATGAAGGTGCTCACATTGAGATTGTTGGCTCTATCGATGTTGGTATTGCTGCTGCGCGATGGTCCCCTGATGAGGAACTCCTCATTGTTGTCACAAAGGAAAACAATGTCATCTTCATGGGTTCGACCTTTGACCCAGTAGCTGAGATCCCCATGACAGTCGAGGACCTCAATGCATCGAAGCACGTATCCGTCGGGTGGGGAAAGAAGGAGACTCAGTTCCAAGGCCGAGGTGCAAAGGCCATGCGTGATCCTACTATCCCCGAAAAGGTCGATGAGGGTTCACCTAGTCCTCACGAGGATGGTGCCACAACCATTAGCTGGAGAGGTGACGGCGCTTATGTGGCCATCAACTCGGTTCAAGAAGGTTCACGACGTGTAATTCGAGTTTACTCACGAGAAGGTGAGCTTGACAGTGCAAGTGAGCCAGTTGATGGCCTCGAGAGCTCTCTGAGTTGGCGACCAGCTGGAAACTTGATGGCTGGCATTCAGCGAAAGTCGAGCCAGATCGATGTGGTATTTTTCGAGAGGAACGGTTTACGGCACGGCGAATTCACACTTTGTTCTCCCTCTGAACCAGCAGAGGCTCATGAGAGAATACGTCTTGAGTGGAACTCAGACTCGACTGTCCTAGCGGTGATTTTTAAGGATATGGTCCAGCTATGGACTATGGGCAACTACCACTGGTACCTCAAACAAGAGATCCCTATCGAGGCTAGCTCGACATGTCTGTCATGGCATCCCGAGAAGGCTTTGCGCTTTGCTGCTACTTCAACAAACACGGTTGTCGTGACAGAGCACATTTTCTTTACAGCAAGGGGATCGTGCCATCCACCGCACGATAATGGTGCCGTTGCGGTGATCGATGGCGAGACAGTCAAGTTGACTCCTTTCCGAACAGCCAACGTACCGCCCCCTATGTCAATGTTCGATATCACAGTTCCTGCAGCGGCAGTCGATGTTACATTTGGCCGTGACAACACGTCCTTTGCGGTTCTTCACCGAAAGGGCATCGATGTTTATGAGTGGCCTGTCAAGAACGGTAGATCAATCAAGCCGAAGCTCTCCAAGAAGGTATTATTCGACGAGATGGGAAGCCCTGGGTACAATATTCTTCTGAGAATTGCTGCTGTAGCCGATGGTTTCAACTACTTCGGCTACGAAGAGGAGAAGGGTTTTGTTCAGCGATCCGTACAGGCTACGGGTGAGGGTGAAGCATCTGTCACAGATATCAACTCTCGGGAGGTTCTTGTCGTCACAACCAGTTATCAAGACGATAACTCATTCACTGGGTATGGCCAGGACAACTCAGGAAAGCTATTCCAGATCACCGAGTCTGGAAATGAGATGCTCCCTGTGCAGTTCCAAACACAGCTGCCTTGGTTTGAGATGAGTAAGGTTGACGATGAGATCGTTGCCTTTGGCCTCTCCAGGAACGGCCATATTTATGCCAATTCTCGTCTCCTGGCGAAGAACTGTACCTCCTTTATCGTCACACCCAGCCACCTCATCTTCACTACTAACAACCACTTGGTCAAGTTTGTTCACTTGTCCGCCAACGTCGATGGTAAGCTACTCTTTTGTATTTCGTGACTACCTACTAATGTCTTCTAGATCTTGAAGTCTCTGCAGATGACCCTGAGACCGACGAGCGTTGCCGCAGTGTGGAGCGTGGATCGCGACTTGTCACAGCTATCCCTGCTAACATGAGCATTGTTTTGCAGATGCCCCGTGGAAACCTGGAGACTGTCTTCCCTCGAGCCATGGTCGTAGCAGGTATTCGTAACCTGATTGACGAGAAGAACTACGCTCGAGCATTCTCGTACTGTCGTACTCAGCGCGTAGATATGAACATTCTCTACGATCATCAGCCTGAACAATTCTTGGCCAATGTTGGCCTCTTCCTCGACCAGATCCCAGACGTCGCCCATATCGATCTCTTCCTCTCTTCTCTCCGGTATGCTTTCTTATTTCAACCTTTCAGGACCATTACTAACCTAGACCAGTGCCGAAGATGTTACTCAGACCATGTATCAAGATACGAAGCGATCTACCGGCTTTGGAGCTGGTACAATTCCCTCTGACTTGTCGCCCGCACCACGGGGTTCTGCCGCAAAGGTCAATACAGTCTGCGATGCTCTTCTCGACGCCCTCCAGAGCCGCAAGGCCACCAACCTTCAAAATACCATTACCGCACATGTTTGCAAGTCGCCACCTGCACTCGATGACGGTCTTCTTCTCGTCGCTGAGCTGATGCGTGAGGACGAGAAGATTGCTGAAAAGGCAGTCGAGCATATCTGCTTCTTGGTCGACGTCAACCGATTATATGAGAATGCCCTTGGACTCTATAACCTTGATCTAGCCCTCCTTGTCGCTCAGCAATCACAGCGCGATCCTCGCGAATACCTCCCCTTCATTCAAAATCTGCACTCTCTCCCTGAGCTTAGACGCCACTTCGAGATTGATGATCATCTTGAGCGTCGTGTCAAAGCTCTTGGCCATCTCCAAGCAATGGATGTATTTGATGAGCTCCTTGCTTATACCACCAAACACTCCCTATACCACGATGCTCTCCGTCTATACCGCTACGACCCTCCTCGCCTTCGAGAGCTCACAGCCGCTTACGCCGCCTACCTTGAGTCCACATCAGCCTACCGAGAAGCAGGCCTTGCATACGAGTCACTCGAGAACTGGGCTAAGGCAACGAGCTGCTACCGAACCGCCGGCGCTACATGTTGGCAAGAGTGTCTTTACACTGCAGCTCAGCAGCAACCTCCCATGTCTGCTGAGGCTATGTCCGACCTTGCCAACAACCTCGCAGATGCTCTCTGGGAAGCAAAGGATTACTCTGCTGCTGCCACCATTCACCTCGAATACCTTGACTCTATCGACATGGCCGTTCGTTGCCTGTGCAAGGGCTACCACTTCGCAGACGCTATTCGTCTCGTTGTCCAACGCAACCGCCCTGACCTCCTCACAACCAGTGTCGACACTGGTCTCGCTGATGCGCTAGGTACAACAACTGAGTTCCTTGCTGACTGCAAGGCTCAGCTCAAGGCCCAAGTTCCCCGTGTTGCCGAGCTTCGCCGAAAGGCCATTGAAGACCCTCTGGCCTTCTATGAAGGAGATCGCGCTGGTGGTATGGACATCCCTGATGATGTCTCTGTCGCCGCTTCTTCCCGAGTTAGCACCAGCGCATCGCTCTTCACACGATATACAGGCAAGGCTGGAAGTGTAGGCACCGCTGGGACAGGCGTCAGTCGCGCCACAAGCAAGAACCGTAAGCGTGAGGAGAAGAAGCGCGCTCGTGGACGCAAGGGAACAGTCTACGAGGAAGAATACCTTGTTAACAGTATTCGCCGACTCATTGACCGTGTCAGTGCTGCTGCTCCAGATGCTGAGCGCCTTATCTTCGCGCTTGTGCGGAGGAACATGCCCGAGCGTGCGCGTGCTGCCGAAGCTCTTATGGCTGAGGTATCTGAGGCCTGCACAGCCGCGGTAGCTGAAGTGTTCAAGGTGCCCGAGGCAGATACCGAGCAAAAGAATGATGCCGAGCCAACCTGGCAGGCTACAGGAGGAGAAGCAGTATTGCAGGACTTTGTGATGGGGCAGGGCAAGAAGTTGGAGCCTCCGATTGTTAAGGGGGTTAAGAAGCTTACGCTTTTAGGATCATGATGAAAGTTTTATGTCAAAAGTTATGTTTAAAACGATCAAATACAACCAAGAAGTAAAATACGAACCTGCTCACATAGGAGGATTGGGTTGACATGTGGCAACTTAATTCTGGATTCAGAATTCTTGTGCCTCAATTCAGTTGAGGGCATCAGTTCTACACCAATATTCATTGACATATCGCAAGTCTGATATCGAATTCCAACAATAATTCACGATCTTTACGAGATTTCACTGTAATGAAACGTTTGATGAAGTGAAAACAACAAAATCCCCTTCGCCTCCGCTATGTCAAAATCCCAACTAAAAACTACCGAGCAAAAAGGCTAACTAAGTACGAGAATATCGAAAAAAGGGGGTAAGAAAATGCTGGCTTAGAGAGCCTTTGCCTCCTATATCCGTCCGTCCTTCCTAAGTCCATAACCATATTCCGTACTGACATATCGCGTTCAAACAATCTCGCATAAGGCGTTTCTTCTTCCCAGGCATCATCTCCATAAACATAGTGGAACCGATCTAGGCACATCAAGATATCTATACTCGATCATAAAACCAATGTGACTGACTAAGCGCCATTTGGTTGATCAGGTTGCTTATCGTCGTCGTCCTTTGGTGGCGGTGGTGGAGGTTGGTTTGCCTCTGCTTCTGCTTCTGCTTCTGCCTGAGCCTGAGCTTGTCGTGCCTCGTCTTCTTCGAGCTCCCTGAGAAATGCCGCGTCCTCGTCTTCCAAATCGGCTTCAGCGTCCACACCCTCCTCGCCGATGGGGTTCTCGGGGATGATGCCGTTCTGACGCTGCCAAACCTCTCGTCGAATGCGATCGTCCTTGGCTTTCCGTGCGCGCTCGACCTCCTCAAATCCCCCTGACTTCTTCAGCTTGCCGTCCGCAACAAAATTGGTGATTTCTCGGTGCAGTGGGTTGACCTGGCGCGTTGCTAGCTCCTTTTGCCGTAGCTTCTCCGCACGTTCGATGGCTTCCAGTCGATCTTCGTGGTTGGGCTGTAAAGCTCTCACTTCACCAAGAACACCTTCCTTTGCGGCGCTTTGATCGGCACTGTTGCCGAGGTTGATGAGGCCCTTGGAGAATTGGCGGGCGCTTCCAGCACTTGCGCCAGTGCCGTTGTCCTTCATTTGCTCCTTGGTAGCCTGCTCCACGAGAGTGAACGTTTCGGAGGCCTTCTCCAGATCGTCCCGCAGATCGACCAAAAGATCCTCCATAAGGCGAAGCTCGTCCCGCCCTTGGCACACATCCTCTAACTCCTTCTCCCAAATCTTGGTCCAAATAGGTTTCTCCTGAGTCATGTACTCTTCCATTCTCTTCAGTTCCTTGGTCAATGTTGCGATATCCTTTCCAACAGAATCCAATTGTCGCGGCAGTGGTCGGACACCACGGTGCACCACATCCTTTCGCAGATCCTCGATAAGGTCCTGAAGGTCGTCCACCTTACCAACCAATCGATCAGAGTCGCTGTTGAGTTGCTTGCGTCCACTGGTAACATATGAGTAACCAGCGTCGCCTTCGATGTCAGGAATGGCCGCCTTGGCTGTAGCAACCTTGACATTGGCAGCTTTGGCGCGAATGGTAGCCATTGAGTCTTGAATATCGGCCTGGAAATTGGAGTAAGTTTGTCGCATAATAGCCAGATCTCGTCGTAAGGTCTTCAATTCTCCAAGATGACTACTATCCAGCTTTCTTCCAGAGCTAAACTGTGTCTTTGCTCCGTCAGTCGAGTGAGAAGTTGATGGAGGTGATAGTGCCAGTCGAGCCATTTCGTTTGCAGCTTCTTGTTGTCGGTCTGAAACTCGTTGAAGAGCAGCTCCTTGATCGGTAACTGTTTGCTTGACATCCCGAACAATTTCGGTTAAGGATGCAATTCCATCGTCGATGTGTTTCTTGACTTCGTCGAGAGCCTCAACATTGAGCACCAGAACAGTTCGATCTTTGACATCTGCGAGGTCTTCCAATTCGTGTCGTACACCAGAAACTGGGTCTTGAATATAGATTTCAGGGAGATCTGCGCCGTTGTGTTGTGTATTCCAAGAAAACTTCTCGATAAATGCAAGTTGAAGTCGTCCGATCGTAAGCTCGGCGCGTCCCTCCGGCAGAACAAACTTCTTTACCTTGGACTTGTACTGGAGGAACAAGGTCAGATCCTTTGTGGGAGTTGGAGGGGGCGAATCTTGGAAGTAGGAGGTCTCGGCAGCTTTTTGCTGTGGTGTTGGAGCAACTTCAGGTTCGGCCTTTGGTTTCTCGACTTTCGGTGTCTCTGGTGCATCATCGCTGAAGAACATAGGGTCAGTGGGAGGCCCACTGAGCGTTGCGCTGGCAGCATATGCTTCGTCTGGAGTTTGAACCGTTGGGGGATCTGGTTTTGCGGGTAATTCTGCTAAAGATGATTCCTCAGAAACACTGTCTGGTATCCTGACGGGAGAGTCTTCGGCAGGAGCCGTAGTTCGCAGAGACTGGCTGGAGGTATTACGGTTGTGTCGTATAGACTGTCGGCCTTGAACTGCGCGCAGAGATTCGCGAACTTCCTTTCGTCCTCGGTTTGGCACAGGTGAATTCTGCGGTGGAAGAATCGGTACACCATTAGCACCTCCCAGATGCTTGGATATTTGATATTGAGAGTATCTGCGTGAAGCTCGTCTTTCGAGATCTCCACCCTTCTGCAGAGCTGCCAGGGCACTCGAGGTATTGTCGGGCGGAGGTGGTGGGGGCGGAGGGAACGAATCGATATTTAGCTCTCCTCCGGATGGCCCAGGAGGTGCTGGAGGTCCAGTAGGAATACTACTCTCGCCCTCTGGATAAGGTGGAACAACTGGCATACTTTGCATAGTGTTGCTAGAAAGAGAAGACTGTTCTGATATGGCGGATGCTCGAGATGATTCTCGCTGAGCATTAAAGCGACGCGGGGACTGGTTGGTACTGCCACTTGACTGACGCAAAGAATCAGTCGGTTGCGAATCGGGCTGGAACCCGTTCTCAAGACCCTCTTCTAACATATTGGTGAGTCCGCTGTTGCCGCTTCCAACGGTGCTAACGCTGGTTGCCCTGTCGGGAGGTGCATGGCCGTCGCGGTCCCGAGCTTGCTTTTGGCGGAGCTTCTGTTGTTTGCGCTTTAGGCCGTGTAACAGATTAATAATGATGTCCCGGATCCTAGGCAAGTATTTCTCCAGACTCTCGGCACTCGCCTCTTGGCTCAACGTCGCTTCGAGAATATGTCGCAGTAAATCGGGAACGTTTCCTAAATCAGATGTGTCAACGTGGATGGCCGTGAATGCGCGACACGCCATATTGAATTCATAACCCAAGCGCACGTAAACGTCAGACACTTGGCTATCGGTAGCTTGTCCGCGCGACCATTGTGTTAAGGTCTCGAGAAGCTGTTTTGTTGCGACGAGGAGGTGTGTGACGCTCTTTTCGATCTGCGATAGAGGCATATTGGAACCGCTGCCGGAACCCTGAGAGATCATGGAGCGTCAGCATCTTGCTTTGCAATTGGACATGGACGTGGGGCAGGGCTCGGCAGGGGCACAGTCTCGCCCACGCTGAGCATTATAGTATACTCACTTCACGATTCATCCTGCGGGAGCCGGTCGATTGTACAGATCTCGCTGAGGCGCTTGAGGCTCGTGCCTGGAGAGCCGGCGAGATGGATCGAACGGGAACATTTGGTGGTGGCCCTGGCTCAGCGCCAGGCGAGCGACGATGGGCGAAGGCGCGTTGAGAACCGGATGACGGAGCTTGCATGACGGACGGTGTATGCTCGGATATATGTATCTAAGTCGCGACGATATATTCGTTGTCGATGACGGTCCAGTGAGAGAATAGAAGTGGCAGCCTCCGTCGACGAGCAGGTGGCTTAGGAGATTAAGCTCGGTCGAAGTGCTTAATATACGGATTTTGGGTGCCTTCGAGGGGCAAGAGGCATCATCAAAACGAGCGGCAGGCAAAGCGGATCGCAAAATCGGTTGTTGTAGTACGAAAAAGGGAGTCGCAAAAAAAGATCGAGGCAGGCGATGTACCTGGTGAGAGTGCGGCTGACGCTGAGGAGAGAGGATGAATTGTGGGAGGAGAGTCGAACACTGTAGAGGGTGGATGGATGGATTGGATGGATGATGATGGTGAACGTTAGGTGGTGGGTGAAGGTCCCGTACGGGCTCTAGCGGGTACTAGATACAGCACGACATCAGTGATTCGACAGTTGAAAATAGGTACCAAGACCAGTGCCCAACCTTACCTGATCTTACCTTGATCCAGATGCAGATGACCCCTGTATAAGCACGTGCCACTTCCCATGGCGTTTATTCTACAACCTGGGAACTATGAGATCCAATTCTGGGGACGGGGGACCTATGAACCAACAATTTTAATGATCATGGGACTTTTTTTTTCGATAAGGCTTGGATATAGCCGTTTTAACATTCTTCAAAACCCGGTATCATAAGGCAAGGCACTAAATCTGTCGTTCGGAATGCTGCTAGCCAATCCAGTCACTTGCCATTTATTGTAACTAGAGGATAGGATGTCCGCATAAACGTTCATGAACTCGGCACAAATTGTGTTGATGCATAATGCAAACAATCTACTCGAGTTGCACTATTTTACAATGATATCATGGCAAGAATCAGCGCAAGCTATGCCAAGTCGTTTCATAGTTGGTACAATATATACCGCGGGACGGGCTGTCGGCTAGGAAACGGCTTACCGCTACCACGCCTTGGCCAGCCACTTTATGGATCTGGGGTTAATAAACTTGGCTATTGTTTCGAAAAACCAAACTGTTTCGTTAGGACAAGGAGGTTCTTGATAAATATTTCATTGCGGTCAATAAGTACGTTCAACGAACGATATGGTATCCTAAGTTCCTATCCTTAACGAATGGTGCTGTCCAAGCAATAAGTTCCCCTGTAAGATCATCAACTCCAGTACGCCATATTCATTATCCATTCGTGTATCTCGCTGGCGCCTCGTTTCATTACCATTCATATATCTTATGCCTCCTCTCCGAAGAGGGCGAATTGGTCGCCAGACACGGTACGAATACTGAGCTGGGAAAACCCCTTACCCTTTCGTCCATCAACGAGGTGTGGTGGCATCGACCCTCTTCCGTGCTCAACTACCACACCCTTACCCTTGAATTCTTGTGAACCCGAAATTGAGTTTGCAAAAAACATGCCCTCCCAAGATTCAGGAAAGTATAGCTCAACTTTGCCGCTGACCGATTCATGTTTGGAGTGAAGAACCGAAAGCACGGGTCTGGCCATGCTAATCTCAGCAACATCAGACCCTTCGGGAAGAACGATGTACGGATCGCTACCATCTGCAGGATCATAAGGTTTGACGGGAGGAATCGTTTCACCTATGGTTGCCAGGCTCGTCCACATGGGCTCCAGAATCGTCACCTGTGTGTCGCCGCTCTTTGTATTTGTGATGACAGTTGGTTTCATCTTTTCATTTATAGCCAACAAACTCGAGTCCAGCACTGGCCAGATTTGCAGCTTCAAGTCACCGGACTGCGATTTAAAGGATGCTGATGAGCTCGCGGCGACATCGGCCGTGATATCTCCAGACGCCGTGATGATATCAACTGTGTAGTCGCGCGGTGGGAACTCGCGATCTGGGCGAGCAGCCTTCTGAGCGGTAGTGAGTGGCTCATCAACCTTGACCGTGCCTGAAGCAGTGCGCACACGAAACGCAGCAGGTCGAACATTCTGAGGGTTCACTGGCTTGGGTCCAATGTTGGTGATGATATCCCCTGAGGCGGTTTCGATGTCGAGGAGGTCGTAGAGGGGATACCATCCCTTGACATCGCCGCTGGCTGTATGAATGCGGATTTCGCGGGAAGAGAGGGTGTAAGGAACAACTTCCTTGCCCTTGATCGTTTTGATACCAGGCGCAGTGACATGGCCACTGGCGCTTCGGATGTTGACCCCATTCTGAACTCCCAGGACGACCCCCTCTTTGAGTTTGACGTCAAGCTGCAGTGTCTCAATGCTAAGGTGGTTAAGGATAGTCTCACGGTGAGCCGAGATCGCGACACGGATTTGGATGCAAGGAGCCTTGTCAGACGAGTCCCAGTCGACTCTGCGTGGCACAATGAACTCAAAGGCCTGAGTTGTCTTGTTGAAGTTGGCCTTAACCCCGAGATCATCATGGTTGGAGATAACCTGCAGCTCAATGCTGGCAGACGAGGAATCTTCTATAGGCCGAAGAATGACTTCTCCAGAGACATGGGTGCTCCAGCCTTTAAGGTTGTCGGACTTGGCCATTCTTTGTATAATGCTAAGGTTGCGGTCAGGTTGAATATCAATTTCCTTAATGACTTGGGCGAAGCGGTGAGGCTTATCAAGGCAAGATCGCGAAGGAGTCCAGGCGAAGTCATCGCCGTCGTCGGTGGGTGGTGCAACGGGATCATTATCCTCGACTGGGTTTGAGTGTGACTAGGGCAGTTATGTTAGTCCAGAGATCGTATCGTATCGAGGTGAGACTTACGCCGTGTCTAGACTGCATGGTAAAGCTGCTGAAAATCATGAAAACGACAGAGAATATGAGAAGTGAAGCAAGGACTGTCTTGACTTTCTTCCTGACGTTCAAGTTCGAGACGGAATCTTTAAATTGTTGCCAACGTGAGGGTTGTTGAGCTGAGTTGGAGGGGCTGCTCATAGACTCCGGAGCATGATTAATCAAAGGTCTATTCTCCTCAGGCCGACCCATTGTAGCTGTAGAAGCAAAGGTCTGATAGTTATTCACTGTAGTTGGCGGCGAAGTTGTTGTAGGTGAGGGCGAATAAGCAGGGGGTGCGTCAACAGGATGAGCAAACAGAGGAGAAGCCCTTGGAGGAGAATGTGGCGTCAATGCAATGGGATTCTCCGAGCCACTCGCATCCTCGTGTGACAAGGCAGGGCTTTCAGGGTTGTGTCCAGAAGATCCTCCGGTATTTAACAACCTCCTCTCCCTCTCTGCTTCTTGAATCTTTGCATCGCGACTCAACTGGGTTGGGTCCTCGACAAGCACGTTTGGAACATGAGGTACGTTTTGTCCAGAGCGAGATGACGACGACTCAGACGACGCGTGGAAGTAACCGTCTGTTGGCGAGAGGGCATCAGGTTCATCGTCAGAGTCGGCGGAATAGAGATTGTCAGAGTAAGGAGCAGGCATTTTGTCTTTGTCTCGTTATGGGCGTATGATTGTTGACATGGGGCGTGTAAGACGGTGTAATTGATCCAGACGCACGTCAAAGACCCCTTTTTGTTGCAGTAAGAAGGAGGTTAAGGTAATGCGTACGTGGCACTATTCGCAAAAGGAATCTGAGCGTGCTCACGCCGGGTATCACCAGATTATTGAGGTAAAGAATGCCAGACGAGATGAGAGAAAGATGAAGTTGAGCTGCGGCGCGGATGAAGAAAAAAAGAGGGGAACGGGTCTTGCTTACAGCACCTCTCTTTTTGTTTCCTACAATCAGCCTATGACCATGGTTCTAGACTGGATATTCCTGCTCGGTTACGTTGCTTGTCTGTGATGCTTCTGATCATGTAACGACGTTGGCCGATCACGCTATTGCTCTTTTGGGGGCGAGCGTTGAATGTGCATATGAAGCGGCGTAATACTGCAAAAAGTCCGATCAAGCTATCGGTTTATCGTATTTTCTAACTTATGAGCCATGGGTATGTTCAATGCTTCCTGACTTTGCTAAATGGTATTCCCAATATCATGAATTATATATACCATCTCTACCTCAAGCCTCTCTTTTCTTTTCAAATTCAACTTCTCTTAAGCATCTTCCATTCCCTCGTCTTATCTTCCGTCTCCCACCAGAGCAAGGATCCTCTATCATCTTACAAAAGTTCCCCCAACCTTCACAACCCCGCAGTCCTCTTTTCGACCCTTGCCAACTGCCATTCCTGTGCAAGCTCAATTCATAGTTGCAATGTTGCGTAAGACCTGCAGCAAAGGCCGCGAGTTCTTGACATGCGGCTGACGACAACTTGTGACGGTCCAAGATAAAAGAACGAGTCAAGACCACGAAATGACGTTTGATGATGGGGAATAATCAGCAAGCGTACGTGATAGGGCTGATTGATAACGAGTACTTCTTGGCCAGACTACCCTAGCCGAGCTTGGATCTGCAGTGCGGCAATAAGCTTCTTTTGTAAGCTGCCAAAGCAATTATGAGCTTGATGGGCAGCTCCGTCTGGACCTCCTTTCATGCCCAAGTCCAGAACACATTTACTCCAGTAGCGAGCTCCACGCCATAAGCTTCTGCTATATCCCCATCATCATTACCTTCTCATGGTTGTTCTCCAGTCCAATAAGTCCCAAAGTTACCCAGGACAGCCCCTCCCGTACGAACCATTCCGCCGGAGCCGGCCCCACATCTCCGGCTCCGATTCCGTACCTGAAACGGGCATGCTGGATTTCGTGCGTTTTCCAGGACCTCTCACAGCTGGCCCACCGCTCTTCACAGTTCAACAATTTCATAAATGGCGAGCGAGAGTAACTTTCATTATCGTTTCAAACCTAGTCAAGGAAACTGATGGATTCATCACGAGACCTCATCTTCTTGTAACCACTTCTATTTGAACAAGGAAATGTTCACCCAATTCTAACCACTGACTCCCAGCACCCGCAAAAATGAGAAACATGCAGTGCCAGCCGAATCATCACCTCATCTTCTGACGATGGCTGCTGGCCACCTTCTTCTGATATATCAATCCCTTCAACGCCAGAAACCCCCCCGTCGTAACGCAATGCCATCCAATCGCTAGATCCTCGCTTTCCAGAATGTTGATGTGAAATTTGCGTGCGTGCGTGTGTATAGTAAATGTTAATTGTGAAACAGGGGATGTTCCCTGTAGTTACTTGTGTTTGCCCCTTTTATCTCATAGCTAGTTGGGACTTCTAGCTCAATCCAAGAATTCTCTTCGAATTCTCGTACACGACCCAAGTGATACTTAGGGCGGGAGCAACCTTCAAAAGGTTGGGTGTAAGGCCCTTGTACAAGCCGCGATAGCCTTCTCGCTGAATCGTTTTCTTCGTTACGTCCCAGATACCAGTATATGTTGCCGGATGCATGGCCGTGCCCTGGGTTTGAAGTCGTGTTCGCACCACGTTCAGGGGGTAGACAACGCTGGCTCCAAATGCTCCAGATGTGGCGCCGATGATCCCTGTGGCAATGTTTCCCGGCTTGACATCGTCTTCGTGGACATTGTTCTTTCGAGCATAGTACGACTTGTAGGACTTTTTTAGTAGTTCAAAAGTGCCCATGTCGATAGCACTGTAGGGAAACATTCCCACAAGTCCCATGGTCAGACCTCGATAGCAGGCACGCACACCACCATCTGCGTACATTTTCGCAGCGGTCTGGCGAACCAAAGCTGCACCTTGAAGACCGTCCTTGACAGTCTCACATTGTAGGCGGAACTTGAGGGTATCAAGCGGGTAAACCGAAGCCCTGCCAATTATCAGTTTATGATATATATCAAGATTTATGTCAAACTTACTGTGCTATCATGCCAGCAAAGCCACCTGAGGCAAATTTTGACCACGAGCTGAGATGCTTCGGATCACCATGGCCCTCGAAATTGGCAAGCGCGCGTTTTGCCGCTTCATATGAGCCAAATTTGATGGCCGTCTCCGGCATGATTTTGATGACATTGAGTCCGTTTCCTAGTCTTTTTAGCATCTTCCGTCACATCCAGGGCCAGTATCAGCCCCAGTTCATTATGATGCAGACTTACCAGCAAAAAGACTTCGAACACCCCCTGAGCGAACAAGATCTCGAAAAGCGTCGCCAAACGGTTTTGCTGCATTTTTCAAAGCAGCGATAGGACGACCTTGTCGAAACGCTGCACCCGCGGTCTCAGTACGACTGGACGTGTTCACAAGCAGATAGACCTTCAGCCGATCGAGAGGCGCAGTAGCCGTACGCGACACTCCACCGGCGATGGCACCTGCTAGAAAGTAGCCTGGATCGGGTACAAATTGTGTTAGTCTAAACTTCTTGTGCACTGCTGTTGAAGCTCCAGTGATGTGTTCATGTTCATGTCCATGGGTGCCATCGTCGACGTGTTGTGTAAGCGTTTCGGCGACTTCCTGTGATATCTCGGTAGCTGCATCATCGTAGTCGGGATATGAGACTGCGGCCGCGGTAGCCATGTTCTCGGTCTGGTTCGGGGACTCATCCGGATTTGAGGTGTTGGATTGACTGACGGAAGTCGATGTCCGGTCGGGTGAAGGTATAGGTCTTGGGAAATCGTAGGGGAAAGCGACTCGTAGAAGAGAGCCGAAAAGGGTGATGAAAAGAGAGCGGAAGCCGTCCGTACCTAGACCCTCTAATGTTTCCTCGCTCACAAGTGTGTCTCCTTCTGGAGTCACGCTGACCACCGAGTAGTAAAAGTCAAGTACGGCATGAAGTTGGGAGTCGTGGTCGTGGGGCGGCATAAATAGTAGGAAGTTTCTGAGAGTTCATGATCAGCTGCAAAGTCCATGATCGACAAAAAGACGCTTCAAGTAATATCTTGACTTCGAGAAACTGGTCGCAAATGTATCGCCGATGATAGCGATTGGGCTTGGCACATGACGTTATGAGGCTTATCCCCGCCAAAGTGACTGAGGGTCAGTCATGAGCTATGAGCATCTGATGGGATGCGACTGACAGCCAGTGGAGTTCTCAAAAGAAAAATGCAAGAAAAGAGCACCCATACAGAACTGAAAATAAAATACTGACCTCCATTCGTCAAATGTGACATAACCGTCATTGTTGAGGTCCATATCGTCAAAGAACTCGGTAAGGCGGCGGTTCGATAGTGTGAGTCCGGCATTCTTGAAAGCTGTTTGAAGCTCAAGTTTGTCTAATTTTCCATTCCCATCCTTATCAATTGATCGAAATAGGGCAAAAAGCTGGCGCTCTGCATTTTCAACAAATTTTCGGAACTCTAAAGGGTGCGAACAGCGAAAAGTAAGCTTTCAACATCGTGGCCGTAGGTACCGAGGCAATATCTGGAAGAGTTGGAGCTCCAAAGTCAAAGACAGATTTGCGTACCGTTATATTGTATCTTGCCATCGCCGTTTTGATCCACCTCTTCCATTATACGTTTTAACATATCGTCGGCATTCTTCATGGCTGTAATTGCTCATCAGTATCTCTACCAAGCTTGAGCCAGCGCGGGCTCTCGCTTACGATGGTCAATCCTTCGAAGCCCCTTCCGCAGACCTTTTAGGTCAAGTTCACCAGTATGATCAGGCTCGAGGCTCGCCCAGAGCTTCTCGACACGAGCATCGCGAGAGTTCTGGGGCTCCCTAAGCCCCTCTTCGATTTCCACCACAATGTTTGTCACGGTCATGACGACAATTGTAACTGCAATGGTGGCATATCTCGTTCCGGCAAGATTTCAGGTACGTCGGGCGCAACAGGCGCGAAAAGCCCTGCGCTGCAGGAGAGCGTCGCTGTGGAGATAAAATCGAGGTACGGCGACTTCGAGGGAGGTATTGTCGGGTTACCGGAAGTTCATGGCTAAACTGTCGTAGGAAGGATTCGGGTCGGAAAGGAAAAGATGGTGTTGAAGTGCCAACACCAATTGACGAGCTGTGACGTTGGTAGCTGAATGAAACCCCCCAAACCGGGTTAACGTTTTGCTGCTCTTGCTCAAAAATGCCTGTACCAAATACCAGATGCTACAGTGGAGCTCCTCGCTAGAGCTAACCTTAGGTAGCCCCGTCCGTCATGGCCCGGGTGGCTATCAACAGCCGTCCTGGCCGCTGTTGGGCACTGTTTTGAAGCCTGGCGATCAATCAGAGGCACTGTATTATGCTTAGTGCCCCGGAAGGACCCGCTGAGCTATTCTTTTGCCGTGTCTAGCTGCCAATATCCTCGCTCTGTCTCGGCATAAACTCCTGGCTCCTCATCTCGAAGAATTTCTTTTCAAGATGCAAATATTCACATGATCTACGGACTAGCCAAGTGAAAAATATGATCAATCAGTTGATTAATGGGTTAGTTCAGCATTTGAGAGGGTCCTATCAAAATATCTTATCTGAAGCTCACAAATTTCTTGACTCTTAATTAGGTGGCTTTCGAATGGCAGATCCGGGCAAGCGGTCCGATAAATCATCGAAATACACACCTGCATATCTGAGATGCTACGTAGAATATGATGGAATATACTTTACAATTCAGTTAAAATCTGTGGGAAGTTTTACCTTCTTTGACTTCCCGTACGTACTGAGTCTTGGTTGTCGTTAAACTTCCAGGTTCATACGATAGTAAGATAAAGATAAAGTTATAGTACTATACAAACAGCCAGGCTTGAAGCTACAATACCTAAATGTATGGATGTCTCTGATCTCTGACAATAATAAACAGTAACACCTAAAACTCCTATCCAATGCTCCTCAATGCGTAAACCGTATATACCATGCTTCATGTCTCGTTTCTCATAGCTTAATCACTTATCCAAGCCTCTCGCCTTGACAAACCTATTGATCTGTTCGCGGGTGAGCTTGTCGTTGTAATGTTCATAACATTCATAAAAGGATATTATCTCCTGAGTAGCATCCACCATGGATGCAATCTCCACGTTGCTGTCGACCAGCCATTTCGCAAACTTTTGCACACGCGACACCCGAGCTTGTTGCTGCTTCTCTTTAGGTTCTGCAGCGGCAGGCTCGGGCATTCCACCTTGTGCTTGCTGGCCTTGTGCTCGCATCAGCGCCTGTTGAGCGGCTGCTAGTCCTGCTGCTGCGGCCGCTCCTGAAGTGTTCTGGCCAGGACCAGAGTTGTTGGGTCTCAACACCAAGGCTAGCAGGATGGCAACCATGGCGATAATATGTGGAGGGTATAGTAGCGGAAGATCGGTCATGAAGTGATCGTTGATAACCGACCGAGCCAGTTGCACCTCGTCTTCCAACAATGATAGTTCGCTTCGCAAGGCTGTGATCGTTCGATACGGCTGGAATACAATCAACTGTGATCGCATCTCGCTTATCATGAAGAACTCGCACTCGCCCAGCTTGGACGTGTCGATGGCCACGAGGTCTCCCCACATCTGTCGCGCCTCTGTCACAATGAGTCGGATATGCTGAGGAGACTCTTCTATTTTGCAGGCAAGGTATATCGCGGTCGCTATGACGAGGTATGGGTTCGTTCGACGAATCTCGACTTTAGAATAGAATCGCTTCATGTAAACCTGCGCCGTGGCCATAGATTGTTGTCGAATCGTTAATCGCTTCGCCAGCCGTATCAATTCTGCGCGTCCTTTGAGTCAGCCATTAGGTTCTGTCGGGTTATAGGGTGTCCACGTACGTTGATTAAAGTATATGTACAAATGGCGTTGCTGCGGAAGCGGAAACATTCGCACCAGTTCTGCATTGTCCTCTTCAAGCTTCTGTCGCATTGTCGCGAGCTGCTCCTTGGTGAAGCTCCAGAAGCGACATTGTGTCGAGTGCCAGTAATTGGCTGACATGTCTTCTGATAGACTGTTAGATACCAATTCCGCAGGAAAACTAGACTTTTAAGAAGGAAGGTTTGACAGCCGAAGCTGTTGAGGTTTCGTTGAAATAGTCAACTTGGAGAGGGGTTCGCAAGGCTGACAACGGCGCCACATGGAAGGGTCCCGTCTTGTGGCTGATTGGCGATATTAAACGACCTATCCAATAGAATTTGCACTTGAAGCACCTATTATTTAACCGGCAATTTACTAGATGTGAATTTGTCTTGAGTATGAGATGCAGGTGAATTTTGCATTTCTTGATTGTGTTTGCACACGTCCTATTTACTGGTACTTTCACTATCGTCAGAGGCCAAATAAGTCGTATTGGTAATCCGGTATAACTTAGCTACTTCACTCATCAGGCTCTCAAACCTGTAGAAATTTAACTTTTCTCTCTATTAATAGAGATTATGCTCTTGTGCATCAAGGAGCTATTAAAGGTACTACCTCAGTTCTAACTCGCCGTTGGGTATCAAAACTTGTCTCCGTCATAGCAATACTTGGCCACGTGTTAATGATTCGAAAATGATCGTGATCTGAGTCTCATTCAACTCCGTGGCGCCTTCCAAATCAAACATACGGATGCCCTTGTCGGATCGTTTGAAAAGAAGCGCACCGCCCTCCTGCTCGTCAATCTTGATGTACCCTGGCTTAGAACCCATGTGCCCCGGAACAAGTGCACACAAAAATGATGTCAAGTCTGGCATGGAGTAGGCTTTGTCTGAGTATTGTTGCTCTAGTGACACTTGATTTGTGACAATCTTGAGGGGCTCCTCGTGACAGTTGAAGCCCAGAATTCGCTTCTCAATACAGTGGCCTCCGACTTGCTTCAGGCCTAGGGCTGAGTATTTTATACTTTGCGCTGTATGTGAAGGCACGACGGTGAACTCTGCAAATTCTGCAGATCGACTGAGAACGATCTTGGCTGCTTGTTGGTTAAGGGCGATGTTGAACTGGTTAGAGAAGAGATTCGCTGACATATCGCAGGAACCCTAACACCGTAAGTATCTTGTCAATAGGAGTATGAATCAGACTTACCACCTGCAAGTGACACTTGATCTTGCTGGCTACACCTCTATCGAGGAGCTGTTGTAGGATTCTCAACGAAGAACCCCCAAAGAAACGAACGCTTCCCGCGGTCTGGATCCGACTCAAAACTTTGTCCAAGACGAGTGGTCGCACAGCAGTGTTTGAGATCTTTCTATCTTGTTCGAGTCGCCAGATGCACTTGCCGTACCAATCCCGCATGTTATTGGTTCGGCGGTTGAAATTAGATACTGTTTTCAGGATGTCGTTATACTCCTTCAGCTCATATTCAGTCCGGTTGACAAGTTCTTCATGGTGATGCATGTGCAGATTAACCGGGTTTTCGATATGTTCCAGAGTCTCGTAGTCCACAAGAACTTCATTGGGGGCATTGTTGGACCACTCGGAAAGACAAGATGCCAGGTCCAGTGCACTTAGACGTGCATGCAAGGTGGCATCTTCGATTGAGCCGTACTTGGGCTTCACTGCCATCTCGAGCTATTATCATGGTCAGGTTTGTTCAAAGTATCTGATTCTGAGGGGAAGGCTTACGATCTTGCGATCAGCTTTTGTCAGATCTTTGATATCATCAATATCTTGCTTCTTGATATCTCCGTTCAAAAGGGTTTTGAAAGGGTTCTCAACGGATGGAAAGTGCTGTTTTATCAATTCCTTGCACCTGGATATTTGATCCATTGTCATAGATAGTCCAAAACACACTTGACGAGGTTCTAGGATCCAAAGTACACGGGCGCCTGGCTTGAAGTGTGTAGCCTTGAACAAGGCCATAGCCGCGGCCAAGTTATCTGAGTCGATGGAGTCATTATAATAAATGACGAGATCTTCCCCCATGGTGAATAGGTATGCTGATAGGGATACTTCTGTTTCGATGCGCGATAGTGGTGAAAGCTGATGGGAAGGTTGAGAGATTTAAAACGAATGGAAAATGTAATGTCTGATTGATTGGGAGGAAGCTTTGAAAACTGGTGGGCTGTGCATCTCTCTAGAGGTAAGCTGCCAATGTGCCGCTTAAAAAGCCCCGCGAAGCGCCTAGCAGAATGGGTGTTGCCACACCAGTCAGTCAATGAATCAGTCTGCCCAGTTACACAAAATCACACCCGTTACAGCCTTGTGACTAGCAGTGGAACAATGAACTATGCCTGTGAGTAAGGGTATTCACAGATTGTTTTGGACATGTTTCATTGCCTCCATGACCAAGCCACAGTTTTTCCACTCTTTGTTCGTGTATCAAAGACGACTAACACCAAACAAGAACTGCCCGAGCCGTGATTCCCGACACTTTGGGTAATATAACTTGGCAAATATGCGCTTGCATCATAGCGTCAATCGATCTGAAAGGATCATTCCTATAGCTCAAAGAAGATGTTTGGGTTCGACAAGAGCATGGGAACATATCACTCCACCCAGCATTGTCCACATTCTGGCATCATGTGGCAAGGGCGAAAGACTAACTCAGTGTTTGGCTCAGTGTATTCTGAGGTTTTGTGTCCTTTATTACTTACACGAGATGTCGTACAACTGCATCAAACAAGTCAGTCCGGATGCTGTTGTAAGCAAAACGTCGCATGACTGCGTCTAAGTCTTGGTGAACTCCTTCTATCCTTTGAACAGATCATGATACAGAAACTCCATGATCTAAACAGTTAATTTTACTTGTATCACAATGAGAATCACTTTGACTTGCTATCACACTAAAATATGCAGTGTCCATTGCAAATCTAGTAGGTCTTGACCAGACCAAAGAGACGGGTGCAACAAGACAACCATGTTTGAAATTCTCTGTACAGCAACAAATCTCATCCATCAGCTAGTTAACTTGACGCCAGCAAGGCATACCACTAGTGTCTTCGCAAGGCTGTGTATGATTGATGGTGTATTCCGGCTAATATGCCAAATGGGTGAAGGATGTGATTGTTCAACAACCATACACTTGAGTTCTGGACGAACGTTCTGGGAATGGAAACACCCTCAAAGTCATCGTAATCTATTGCAGGAGGCCTCTCTCAGACGTCTTTAGGACCATTAAGCGTCGGGGCTTACCAAATAAGAGAGAACTACCAGACAAACCAATATGTGAAAGGGAAGGGTGAAAGGGTAGGATTGAAACTAAAGCCCGCGCTCCTCCTCCCTTCAGAAATTCATCCCAGATTGTTAAAATAGCCTCGCTTATAAACTTACATACTGGACCTAGGTATGCTTGAACTAGTTCTGGAAGCGGATTTTGATCTCTGAATCCCTGAACCCGATCTAATTTCTTGTCAAAGCTTTCAATCTTATGCTTGCTGGGCTGATCCAGCACTGCCACTGAAAAGAGGAGAACGCAATACAGTCACCTAGTGTGCCTATGCAAGTGTCCATAATTGAACAGCGTAAAATACATGTGAGCCATTGCCCAAACATGGTCTTGTTATCATTTTTCATTATCCTTAGCGCTTCGTACATGGTTACCTCACTACAGTGCCTTGGTTAAGCAAGGCACCCATACATTTTCCAATAACTCGTTTTACTTCATTGGGCTAATGAAGAAGTGATCATTCGTCATGGCCGTGACCTGGAATTTCATGCCAACCTCAATATGCCCCTCATCACTCGGCGCACAAAGCATGCCAAAGCTCGGCTTGAATTTCAGTCCAGGGTCGATTCGTCGATACTTCATCAACTGGTTCCAAGGCTGACGCGGGTGCTTATCAGCAGTAATCGGATGAACATTGGGTACCTGGCAGCGAAGGCATCGGCACACTACATCGAGGTCGAGACGGTGTTCACCCACACCAATTTGCAGAGTCTTCCATCCATCCTCAACCCAGGGCACGCTTCCGCGGATGATGACATTGGGACGGAACCGATCAATCTCAATCTTATCCTCTCCAGCTTGAGTGAGACGCTCGTTAAGTTCATTCATACTCGCCATAGAGGCAACCTATCAAGTTTCGCATTAGTACAACGCCTGAGTCATATGTCAGGTTCCAGTTTATGTAGCTCACCAGCACAGGCATCATATCGGCAAATTTGGTAGCCTCAGTACGACCAAGACGATGAGGAGCTCCGCTTCCACGTAGAACTCGAGGTGTAGGACCCTTATACATCAGACGTACGTCCATGTTCAAAAATTCTGAGATGGGCTTGGTCAGACTCTCGGCATATTCCCATGCGTCGGTTTGCTCGCCCCAGATAGTCGCCTTCTTGAGCTCAGTGTTCTTCTCAAGCCATTGAGTCGTAGGGTGAGCGGGAATCTCAATCTTGTGTTCATTCAGAGAAATTGTGAGCGTGTCGGTATCAGCGTCCCACGCTGTTATAATAAGCGTCATGTTTGAATTTGCCCTGATCGTGATGAATTCATGCTTATCAGCCGTGACGAACATCCAGTTACGGTCCAAGTCTAGACCTGTTCGTAGAAGCTGCGTTGACTTTACGTCAAAACCGCGGCATGACTTGACCGGATATACACGGAGGCGAACAATCTCATCGTCAGCTGGTAAAGGCAATGATTTGGATGCAGATTGACCAACAGGTCTGCGGAAGAGAACGAAAAGAAGAAGAATAGGTAAAGCTGCCGAAGCAGCAATGAACAGAATATGACCCAGTGAAGGGCTCTGCCCAATATGCAGTACATCCATGTTGATGTGGTGTAGTTTAGATTGTATAAGCCGTTGAGTTTGATGCAGGTGGGTAAGAGAAAACTCCGACTCATGGTGGAGGCGGGAAGTCCGGAGAATTTAAACCCGCCCTGCTCCGGCTTCTTAGGCCCGAGTCTCGGAGCGCGACTCATGGATTAGATTCCTGTTCAGTGTCTTTCTTCTAATTTATGATAGAAGGCATTCTGATTGTCTTTATTATCAAAATCAACCCTGCATTGACGTATAATCCAGCGTCATGCAGGAGCAATCGATGGGTTTCTGTTGCGTTACGAATCAAAGATCTGCCAGAATAATCACAATCAATCTATGTATTCGTTCCAATATGGAATGAGCTTATCGAAGAGAAATTCTCCAGTAGTAATTCTGCACGGTACACACATTGTTATCCTAATAATAGCCATTCATTTCCGTCATTCTTTATGATAGATCTTAAGTCATGTCCTTCAAGTTTCCGCATGCAATCGAAAGAGATGATCTTCAGCCAGGACCGGAAGTATACCTGTGAGTCCTGTTCCTTTGAAATCGTGATTCCGATATTCCGAGATAGTCTAATGTAAACATGCGGAAGTAAAGGGCGTGGGCCCAGAGAAGTGATTCCAAACTGTACATGATGATGGGTCGTATTCACAAATCTGACTCATAGCAATAGCCACTAATGAGGAACTTTTGGAGTGACTCAATTATGACACACAATTCAATGAGTTCATCCACTAGAACAATGGGCATTTATTTGATAATCATGTTTACCTTCCATTCCTTCTTTTCAGACCCTTGGCCTCTGCCCAGGCGTGGCCGGTTATGTAGTGCTTGTTTATATATACAAGAGAGTCTCTCTTCACCTGAGACGATCATAAATACATGTTCTGCCCTTGTGCTTTATAATCTTTCTGTTTTGTGCATATAATTATATCTGAAATCGTTCTAAATTATGAGAACTGGGGGCTAAGAACTACCATGGCAGCATACACCATTTTGTATTTCTAATGGCCATCAAAATCATGCATTCTAGTTGTCGAGTTGCAATATGTTTCCATATCGTTGAATGAGAGTTCTCGAGAGCCAGAACCATGTTCCAAGATCTGATGAGATGAACAACCCTTCACTTAAGAGACTCAAAGTTCAAGTCCTTGTCAAGTATTAAGTGCTCCAGTTGACTGTCAAGAACCAATACTCAACTGCGAAATATTTTAGAGGCTCTGGTGTCTCATAGGGCCTGGAGAAAATCTATATGCAGCTGGGACTTGGGATATGAGTTCGTATAAGTAGCACTTCCAATACATTCTGTTCTGGATTTCCTCAGTAATCTTCAAAAGGTACATTTGTATCCTCACGTCTTATTGTGAACGTTTGATGATAGGAGCTAATCTCTTCACATAGGTATTTAGAGTCTTCTTGTAGGAGCTATGCATAGATGCTTGGGGGCGTAGACTTTGCGGTGAGAGCTGTGGGGTTGCAGAGGTTCAGACTGAAATTCTTACAACCGATGAACCTTCTTAGAGGCAGCATCAAATGGAAACATGGGCATCTCCATATAGTCCTGGGGGAGACACAGGGAGTGGGTGATGATATAGAGATAAAACACCGGGATAATTTGCTGTTCGTACTGAGTAAGACCTTCCACCCATAGACAGATCCCATGATACTTATCTAAACACTTTGACTTGATAAAGCAAAGGGTATCATCTCGCCTTTGGGCGGCTTCCTCATGAATTGTGGCCATATGTGTAAGTTATATGAGCCTGGCTAGTTGGTGAATACTGCTACGGGTTAGGTTAGAAAATGCCACTACCAGCCAGCACTTTACCACGAGCGTGTCCCTGAACTTGGAGGAAGGTAAAACAGACAAACTTCCAACCCATACTCCCGGTTAACACCAGAGATATAAGAATAATCCCTCTGGACACCCAAGTCATACAAAGGATTGCAGCACATGTCATGGCCTTGTCGAGCTGCCTGCAGGTGAGGTGAGCCATGACTGAAGAGACCGAAGTATCCCGGATGATACATGTCCTCGATCTTCCTTGATAAGCTCTCTGGCAATTCACTTCCAGCCTCTGAGGCCATGGTGAGGCATTGCTGGATCAGCTGGCATGTCGTCGTGTTCTGGTTCGCCGGATCTTGGTTATTTAAAAATGAACTTGAAGGGAAAACTGCAACATATGATGAAAGCACAACTACACATCTGGGTCAGCTAGAACCCCAGGGGTGGCTGGAATTTTCCGAAGGTCCCAAGTTTCTCCCAAGCGAAATGTTGAGAACCTACGGATGCATGTGATGATCGCTTCGGTTTCTTCCATGAAGTGTATTTAAGCTCTTTAATTGAGGCTCAACATGGCGTAGAAAATAATATCATAGCCAAAAAGGCAATATGCACAGTGTCTCGACAAAGCTGACCTCTTCTAATCCTTGACCAGCACATCTGATAAGGTTTGAGCAGAGTCGTTGAATCCTTCATCAGCGGTGTTTTCTACAGCAGGATATTCATGACAACGGGATCTAGTGCTCTCTTGTTGTTCAGTCATTTACCGAACTTCGACCTCAATCATGAAATAACATATTGTCGCCGTCTCGCAACGTTATCTACCGTACGAGGGAAGATATCAAGCACATACGACCATACCTGCAGGAAAATACGGGATCCCGTCCGCTCTCCCATAGTCAAGCCTGTAAGGGGCGGATTAGTAGTTGGGTCGGTGACGACCAGCGAATCCCCGCTGTTGTATGTTGTTTTTGCTTGAGATCTATCTTTTTACCTGTGGTATGTAGTGCCAAATGTCCAGTTCGTTTTAAGCATGGTATGTCGTCGTCTGAGAGTGTCCAGCTGCAACAATGAGGGTACCGAGTTGTTGTTGAGGACTAGACTTTATGGCGCTCCGCTTTTAAATGTCTATGGCTTGTATATCGTGATGTTGAGGAAGTCAATTTTTTGTTGTTGAAGGCAAACGACCAATTAGAGCTGAGGCTTTCACGTCGAAAGTCATTTGAGGTCCCCAGTCATCAATCAGCCGGGACTGACGTCGCCGTTTCTCCGCAAAGTGTGGCGCGCAGGGTGACGGTGGCGCGGTCTGGGCTGAGAGCTCGGACTCTCAGAGAAGAGAACAGTTCCTTTGTTCCCCGCAAAGTGAGACATCAAGTCACCTGCCGAAGAAAAGCGCCTTAGCCGACGCGACAGAAACAGGCCATCATCGTCTGTGAGAACTAGCGGTGTGGCGATGGGATATGGATTATAGGATATGGCACGCCGTATGCATCAGATAATCGCCTCGTCTCATGATATTGGGGGGAGTTGATAACCCGTGATAGACATGTTGACCATCAATGAATTGAACGATTAGATACATGCGTCTATTATCGATTGTTGAGATCGTTGTTAGCTCGAGGAATGGGTCGTTCGACTAGGGATGGATGGCTGATTGCGTCAATGTGGGCAGACGGGGAGGAGAGCTAGGGAGAGACAAGCGGCTTCTAACAATGCTTTTGGGAAATGTAGCATTTCTTGACTTTTCCCTTTACGTCGCAACGTCTATTCTTTCTGAATCTATTGACTCACTTGATTCAGTGAAAGATGACTCTGAATGCCGATAATCTGGGTATGGGTTCATACAGGGATTCTTCCAGGGCACAGATGCGACATCGTCTTTGTCTCCAGGACCCTTCAGGATATGTTATGGTTTAGCCAATCTCTCCCGGTCACAGAGAGTTTGGACTGTCAATTTTAACTTTACGGTTGTTTACTGTTCTGTTTGTTATGACTCGTCTAGAATTACCGTAGACTTTACGCTAGGAACCCGAAGCTGCAAAGCATCACGCATTCGGTCGAGTGCCCAAGAGTGCCTCGAATTCTTTTCGGGATGGGACTTGGACCCTGTCTCCAGGAACAGGAATTCATTGAAGGGACACCCACCCACGTTGAAGTGATCGGCGTAGGCGACCAAGCATCACATCACATCACATCCCTCCCAACCGAAAAAGAAGAAGACGAACAAGAGCAGGTTTGGACTAGACATCCGCTAGCAGGCCTTCACAGCCCGCTCAAAATAGACCAGCCCATACCCCCGCATGGTGGTCTGGCAAATGACACAAAAGCAGAGAGCCCTGGAGGGATTCTCAGAAGAGCCTGATGAAACACCTAGACGGTGCGGCAGGGCATGGTAGGGTGCCAGCTTGACCCAGACACCAACGACGATCTAACCGAGATCGAGAGGTTGAATTGCGCAAGAGGCAGTGGCAATGGCAGTTATCACTTATCAAGGACTAAATATAATCAATCAACCTTCCATCGGCAATGAAATGGTGTGGTGCATACTGTAGGTCCTCTCTGCATATACGGAATAGGATGAGAACCCGTTTGGTAAGATAAGATGAGGCTGGCGGCAAGACAACCTCTAGAAATGATGAAACGATGGGCAAGATGCATTACCAAATACCGAATTAACATACCCTACTGGGTTATATGTTTTGCCGCCGTCGTCACTTGCCATGTCCAGGCTTGCTTATCGTCAATGCTCATGCTTCACGACGATCTTGTCAACCATCGTGCTGTGTCTACCGGTTGAGATTCTGTAACACACGATTCACAAACTTACCGTTAACAAGATACCCACTGTTATCAACGGTCTTTGTTGTCGATGTCTCGATTTAGACGCCCGCAAAGGTGCTGCAACCGCAGTGGCCGACAAAGAGTTCCTGCGTGAGGGTTGCGTGGAGTGTCTCGCCAAGTACAGTCTTCGGACAGGGCGAATTAACCATACATACAGTGCACTGAGTGCATACAGAATAGAAGCTGCAGCTAGAAGTCGTGGGTTGGGGTTTGGGGCTGGGGTTGTGCTGTGTGTGGGTGAGTTAATTACCCTTCAAAGTCAAGCACAAACGCCACAATGTTTTGCAAGTCACCACCTGGACTTGTCAACTTCTCATTTCAAGGAGGTTGGTGTTGAAGATGATCTGGGTCTGGGCTCTGTTGTGCCTCAAGACACTACCCTAAAGTCGAGAATAATCTATATCAACGTCACACACGTCAGAGGCCTTCCAGAAGCCAGAGACAATGATGATCTTATTCTCATCCATTTTGCCTCTCGTGGCGATGTTTAGCACTGGAGAACCCTTGAGACTGTTTTGATAGTGGTTCGACCATTGGGGAAACAGTGTCGATTATCGACAGCTTGTCATTCGGCGGCTGTCCAGGGCACAACACACAACAACAAAACCACGGACAGAGAAAGGGATACGTGCGATCTGCAGACGGGAGGGGCCATGACAGAATGGCACAGTGCAGCAAAGTCTTTGTCCAGTGTAGACGCAGGCCAGCCCGCCACGTTTCCAACGTATCCATGTCCAGAACCATTGAGGACAGGGTCATGGAAGGGTCTCGAGGCCGCCCAGTCATAGGCCTCACCAACCCTCCCTCATTCTGCGCTGGTGGTCAGTAATGGCTCCATAGACGGTCATGCACAGTGTCATGATAGAGCTTAGAGCCTAGTGCTCACTGCCTCGCAAGGTACCGTCCATCACCGCCATCCCGCCAACCCACCTGAGCCAACC